TTTTTTTTCATCAAATGAACTTGGCAAAACGAGTTCCACTGAGTTTCGGCCGGAGAATTGACCCCCAGGGGTTCCACCTTCCCCAGCAAAGCAGGACTGGTTCCATTCACGACCGTCCAAGAGATCGTTGAACTCACTTTCCAACTCCCATCCCAGACACTCCATGGGACTGCCAGCCAGGACTGCCGATCAGGCCAGACCCCTCATGGCCCACCCCTGGCCGTTTCTCGGCAGTCCTCACTGGCAGTCTCATGGAGTGTTTGGGCCATGGTGTGTCTCTGCCTTTTCTTCCTGCGACGTCGCCAGGGGCCATCCACCAGGAGCTTGCTCCCGGGGAAAGGAGCAAAGGTCCTCATCTTTTGTAAGGAGCAAACGATTCAGCGATGGGTCAAAGAAATGGATTTCACACATCCAAGAGAATTTTGCAAAAAAAGGAAGACTCCCAGCAGAGGTTCTTCAGAACCCGAACGTTCGGCTATCCTAGTTGGGTACCCCCAGGTGACGGGTCCTATGGTCCCGGTCACGGAACTCGCTACCTCTGTTGATCCATGAAGTCATCGATCCTCACGTTTCAGCACGCTTGTCGTACCAAGTGACGGCCGAACGAACCCAAGAACGAACGTCCCATGGGTCACCCAAAGGGTCAAGAACTTCAACGCAACTCATCGACATGTGTCGGAACCAAAAAGCCAAGCTTTTCAACGAGAAGAGGAACATTGAGAAACAACACGCCTGTCTTCTCTGACATGACGTATTCGTAACCAATTGGTTTCATACTCCGATTTGATTTCATTTAACTCGGTCTTTGACCCGCAACCACAGCACCACAGCACCCGCACTGAGGGGGACATGCCCCATGCAGGCGGATGGGGCGAGAAAAGGCCCGATCTTCGGACGAGCGAAACTTGTGTTCGAGCGAAGCGTGCGAAGCGGACTTCGCGCGGAGTGGTCCGGGCTCAGAATTTCAACGATGGAACGATGAACCCCAGGTATCGAATCGATTTCGTAGATCAGGTAAATATCCACCTTTTCTGAACACATCGTCTATTTACAAGCCACCATTCTATATAGGAATGTGATGGAGGCATCAGAGCAGTCAGGAACCAAAGGGGCGAGCCGAACGTCCCATTCAAGTATAGCAAGAGTGCCATTTGTCGCTGTTTCCTGTCACAGCCTTCCCAGTTTGGAAACAACACACCTCCTGTTTTTTTGACCGTCTTCTTGGACCTCTACTCGGGTCCGATCTTGAGACATCGGCCTGGGGTCTGCCCCCACCGGCCCAGTTGCGAGTGAAGACCGGAAGACCGGACGGTCGGCAGGACAACCAACCGACCGGACGGGCCCAGTGGATGGCCTGGTGGCCAGGCCCCCCCGACCGTTTTACGGGTAGGACACCCCCGGTTGGGGAGCACTCGAAAGCACAACCGGTCGAAGCATCCACGAATAAGTCCCTCCCATGTACCTAGTGACTCCAAAATTAGAGACGAGCATATCCAAAAAAGAGACGAGCTTTTGAGGATACGAACCCAAACAAGTAGCAAATACTCAACTGGCTGGAGGTTTCTTCGATTTCCCTAGAAGTCGGAGAGGAATGCTGTCCCAAAGCATCGAGGAATGCAGTCCAGCTCCAGCTCCGCCCGCGGCCGCCTGACACGCCTCCCCAGTCGCAAATGGACGCTCCTGGGTCGTCACCTCGTGCCCCGGGTCCGTCGTTTGCTCAGTACTTCTGGCGACCGGACTGACGTGAGTGGGGTATCAAGGTGACTTTCACCCGACCCAGGAGCAAACACCCCCCCCCTTTGGCGCGAGCGAAGACAATCAGTGACAGGCGCGAACACCCACATGGTGCGAAACAGTTTCAACATCAGCGCCCTGGGGGAGGCCAAAAAGAAACGACTATCCCCGCAGCAGGAGCCGTCAGAAATGAATTACTTCGAACAGTCATGGCTCTTGCGATGTCTTCGCAGGAGCGTAGGAAGCTGCTGCAGGCTCCTCCTTTGGTTGTGAGTCAGGCATCGCCAATGCCATGCCTGCAGCGGAACCCGCAGCTGAGCGAGCGAGTGGGGACCCCGGGTCGATTTGGGAGGGGTCTCTTCCGGACATCCAAAGCGATACCATCGTGCGCCTGGGACCTGCGATGATGATTCTTTGCACTCTGATTCTTGCCATCCAAAAAACAAGAAGCACAGAACCAACCATTTTCCAAACAGAAACAAAAGGGCAAAAGCACTTCAAGTGTCTAGGTGGCTTGTGCTCAGAACAATCTCCCATGGGTGAGATGCGATGCTACACTGATACTCAACTGAGGCAAAACCCCCCAAAGAACACATCGAACAAGAAAGCACACCCAGGAGTCACAACGGGGTTTCGTGTGGCTCGTCCCATCCAGGGGCTGTGGGAGTAGCTGGGCACCCCGAACCTCCATGGAGTCCGCACCCCGTCGAACGTGACCGCTGGACGTTTTTTCCTTTTCCACGTTCATGACTGTAAACATGGGTCGTGCTGGAGGCCTCGTCAAGATCTTGAAACGAACAAGATCTGATCCCTTGTGATGCGGTTCAGACCAGTTCCAAAAAGCCATCGACTCGACAAATCCCCAAGATCCATTCTCTTTCGCACTAGGGCAGCCTCTATATGGCTCTCGATTTAGAACCAGAAACAGTTTAATCAGCGGGGAAGATGACACATGCAAATTGCCGCCACTTTAGACTCTTGAGCTCACCATCGTATATGCAAAAACACATTAAAACATCTAGGCAAGTCAATGCCCATCTGTGCAAACCCTGCCGTACCGCCCGTCGCCTCCCCCCCTTTTCGGCCGAACGGCCATGTACGAAGACACCGTGCTCGTCACGGGGTGCACCGCGCCGAATGTCACCGTGACCGTGACCGCCGCGGCGTTCGTGAACCGAAGGGCGCCTCCCAGCACGGTGATCAAGGCGCCCAGGAGTTGCAACGTGGAGAGACGGTCCGTGTGCAGCAGCGTGGCATCCAGCAAGATGACCAAGAACCTGCGTGCACTGCATCGTCGTGTTTGTTTGTGTGTCTGGAAGTCTGGATGGGTTTTCTGCTTGGGGGGAGTCTCAAATAGGGGGCTCCAAAATGCTGGTCGTACGGCCCAGTCTGAAAGGGAGAGATGCTGATCAACTACAAAGATGGAGTGAAGAGAGACCCGTTTGGTCGCTCTCTTCGTCCCTGCGAAGACGTGTCCCGGGCCACCGTTCGATCCGACAGATGAGCGAAACACGGTCGACTGGGTCCCCCAAATCGAATGGCCATTGAATGGCCATGAGTTGGGATGTCAACCAAACCCCTACACCCTGAACGGTTTTGCAGTGCTCGAGAGCTTGGCCCCGGTGTTTGATTTTTTGACTACCAGGACCTTCCATAGCAAAAATCTATCAATAGCCCCGTAAAGCGGTTAAGCCAGGGGGTGTCCCAAAACCACCGGACGAACGGGGTTGGTCCTGGTGGTGTTCGAAGGAACACTTCGGACGACGTGCGGACCCCGCGCTCTGGCGGCTCTTCGCCTGGTGAGGTTGACGAGGATCAGCATGCTGGTGGCACTAATCAGGCTTTGGCACCAAATGTTGGCATAGCTAATGGCTGCCTCGGTCGAGTGATGGTAGATGGTAGACCGGTAGACGGTCCACAGGGAGCTCACTGACGTATGTCTTGAGAAGCCAAAAGGATGGAGGACACCTCAAAGTAAAGTGAACATGCATTAATTATTGACCAAAGTTGGAAGCTTGGTGAAATTGAGCACGTCACACTTAAGCAACAAAGAGAAAGAAGAAGGGAAAGAAGAAGAAAGGCCTAAAGAAGTATCTAAAGAGAAATGACCATAAACACACCTTTTCGTTCTCTTTAAAAAGGACAGATGTGCGTCTTGTCTTGAATTAAAAAACCATTCGATTAGCAACTGACCCTCCCAAGTCCGTTCCAAACCACCCAGTCAAATGGGCACTCCCTCTGGTCCATCAAAGCATCCAGCTTCTGTTCGAGGCACTGCGACCACACAACTGATGCCCATGAAGATCAACTCCTGGCTACTTAACAATGCCAGTTGATTGGGCGCCTCTTCAAATTCTCCTGCGGGAGCGCGCGGTCGAAACGCAGGAAGCTTCGGTCTCGGACCAGCACCATCCGCGCGCCACGCCGTGGTTCGAGCTCGGTGGAGGATCCGGAGGATCTGGTACCCATGCCCGGTGCCAAGCGGCGCGGATCCGTTTTTGGAACATGTTTTTTCGTTCCGATCTCCAAGCCCCGCTAGTAGGTTGGAGGCCATCGCTTCCTTCGATTGGAGGCCATTACAAGGAGGCCACCGCAGCCGAAAGACGCCAAAGCTCCATGTCCAACGCCTCCCCCCGCGCTCGCGCGCGCGCGCATTGCAAACTGGTCGTCTTTGTCTTCCCTGAATCATGGAGCCGTCTCCTGTGATGTAGGCCGTGGCGAGCAGTGGAAGTAGCCCCATGGCGTTGTTGATCAACGAGCATCCGCCCTGAGAAGAGGGAGAAGCAACTCACTCAGCTAAAGAAGAACACCTCCCTTCTTCACATCAAATCGAACGGAGAAAAACCCGCAGCAAATTGGCATCAATCCTCCTCCCTTCTTCACCCCGCAGCCTGCGCCACCCGACCCGTTGCGCGGTGGCGCCTTGGAGATATCCACCGGATCCTGATCCGCCGCCAGCATCCGGCGCTGCAGCAGGCGCAGCAGCACGGAGAAGCACGTGTTCACGAAGATCCATCCCACACCGACCAGGTGTTCAAAGCCCAACTCTTTGGTATATAGCAAGGCACCTGGAGGGAGAAAAGAGATGGAGGCCATTGCTATTGCTATTTGGAGGCCATGGCGATTAGAGATGAAAAAGATATGGACAACCAAAACCCGAAAAGACGAGCCTAACATGATCCACCCATCCAAAATTGGTACCCCAGTAGGGTCTCACCATGAAAGCTCACTATCTTCGACCTCTCTTGGAGTGGAATGAACAAAGAAAACATCGTCGCCACGCGGAACGTCTCCATGGTTTTGTCCCAACGGATCCGTTGTGAAGGTCCACAACGGGGCCCAGGTCGTTTCGGGCGGGGCGGTTCCGCGAGACGGTGAAGGCGGGTTTCCGAAGGCAGGCGGTTCGTTGACTTCCTCGCTTGACCCCACACCCATCGCTTTCAGTCCGTTCCGGACGTGGGATTGAAGTCATACCCACCCGTCGACGCTCCGTTTTCGTTCACCGCCCTTTCCTGGTCCCGAAGCAAACCGGATCGGTGAGAAACCCCCAGACCCCTTCAGAGGATTCGGGTCCGTCGCGTCTGGGTGTGTCATAAAGATCCTGGATCCTAAAGCTTCACGAAAACGTGTCGGGCCGCCGACCTGCTACAGCGACGGTTCGGCCGTTCGACCCGTTCGGTTGGAGCTCTGAGACGCGGTGCCAGTGCCAGTTCTCAGCTCTGAAACCACGCCATCCAGCTTCCAGGTCAGATCAGCTCAGCGCTCCTGATCCTCCAACTGACCAATGGGTCCTTCCTCCGTGACAGGCTCGGCCGTGTTGGCTCGGCCGAACACACGGCCGCTTGGCCACGGGTTTGGACCAGTCGACACCTGTGTGAGGTACCTCGACGGTTGCGGCCAAATCCCTCTTGGCACCTCGGAACCGGTGCGAGGGGGTCGACATCAGCTGACCGGTGCGACCGGGGCGACCGGGTTCCGGCGCAGCGACCTCACTTCAGTGTGGTTACGCGAGCGAGCTTGTACAAGCTTGTATGAGCACCTGCCTGTGCCACTTCTCCAGCTGTTCACCTGCCACCTCTTTCTTCTCCGGTCTTGTAAAGAGCTTCTGCCACGATGTCCAGTGCATCAACCTTCTGACACAAACTTTCTTACGAAATCTATCAAAACCCTGGTCAAACAGCTTCTCAGCTGTGTGTTGCTGAGAACCGCCCTTTCCTTCCCCTCGCTGCGACCCTTCGCCGTCGGTTCCGTCACGGGGTCGGTGGCGCCTAGGACTGCGATGAGGATCGAGAGGAGCTCCTGTCGGTTGACCTGGTGACGATGTGTACACCATCTTCGATCCAACGAACAGGAGTGGCAGAGTGGTCAGGTGAAGCTGGTAGCTGTAGATTTTGCTTTAAAACATCTGAAAACCGTTACAACCTCGACTAGTCGGGGCTAGGTAAGGAAACCTGTCCAAGCGTGAAAGTCGCCAGCAAGCGCTGACCGTTGCAGCGGATTGTACAACAACGCTCAAATGGATATCATCAATGTTACATGCTAAAGCATGACTTCTCCTTCAAACCGGACAAAACAAATGCCTGTTGGGGGCCTTCAGAACCTCAACTCTTGCTTGCGCATGGACGTCTCCTCCGTCTTCGCACGGTATACCGACTCGGTGCACGTCCCGAGTCCATCCGTCGTCAAAGCCCCGCCTTGCAGCCGTTGTTGAAGCTCTCGGCGAGCAGGGTGAAGATCGGCGTCAAGGCGCGGACCACGATCACCAAGGTCCTCGGGACGGATCAGCAGGTTGGTCGGAGGGGATCCATGAGGATCGGTGGGAGGTGGTGGGAGGTCTTGCTGGGATGAAGTTGAAGTTCTAACTGGTTTGACGAGTAGAAGGATGAATATACCGTGGAGCCATTTCACAGCTCACTCGATTCCTGATTCGACAGGTGGTACTCAAAAAGAGAAACCAGGCTCTCTTGCTGGAGAGCTGGTTTGCAACGATGAAACCTCAGAAAGGCACTTCCCCAAAGAAGCAGGGCTACCAGTTAGGAGGTAGCAAACATAGAACTCTGCCGTTCATTCTCCCCTCTCTAGAAACCATTTCGCAGAAACCATGCCAGTCAAGTTGCCAGTATCTCCAAGCCTTGGGGGACGAGAAGATGTCCAAAACTTCCCAAGGCCGGATCGTCTTCCCCCAATAAAACATCATCTTCCCCATAAGTACGGGGAGGAAATGCAGCAATATAGGGAAGATGAAGACATCACCATGTCCTTTCTGACGTCTCTTCCGAGTAGCATCCTTGTTACTAGTAGGAGCGCCCCTTTCTTCAGTTCGCGTCCGATCGCTGCCGAGGCACAAGGTGCAGTGCTTCAGCGCCAGCATCGCCGTCAAGAGGCCGCCGGCGAAGCAGGGCGCCACCAGGGACCAGCGCAGCGCATCGCGGAAGGAGCCGATGTGCAAGAAGGGAAAGGCGGCCAAGAGCACGAGCACCGTAAAGGCCTTGGTAGCATCTCCACCCAGACGCTCCGTGCACAGCCCTTTCCTGGTCCCGAACCAAACCATAGGGATTGGTTCGGGTCCAGACCCCTCCAGAGGATTCGGGTGCGACCCCTGCAAAGGATTCGGGTCCAGGGTCTCGTCTGGGCAGTTGGGTTTCTTCAGGTCAGTTGGGTGGGTGGATGGGGAGTTCTTTGTTTGGAACAAACTCCCAGGCAAACATCGTGGTGACGGGGGGTGTAGCTGTGTAGCTGTGCGGTGACGGACCAGCGAAGGCAGGATCAAGGTTCCGACGCTGTGGGGAAAAGACTCAAACCCAGAGGCGACCCGTTCGGCCCCGAACCGGTCCTGCTACATGTTTGAGGGTCCTTTCTGAGGAACCATCCGGTTTCGCTCGTCACCGAAGCGCGACTCCTCATCGCTCACCTCATTACGCCTCCACTCCTCCCTCCGAAGGGATTCTCGCCCGGTGGGTCAGGCTCGTTGGACCCATTTGGCCAAAAGGCCATCTGCAAGGCAGTCAGCCTTGGAGCGAGCAAATCATGGTGAACAACCCGGCTGCAGAGATACTTAGTGAACAAATCTGCCTCTAGGAGCTTTTAGGGATTGTTGCAGGTGTTTAAGAATTTTAAGAGCATGAGTTTGTTGGTGGTCTGCTTCTTTCGAACCATTTTCAGTGTCCTTCCGAGCTACGACGTACCCAGCAACCATAATCTTCCTGGTCTGTACCAGCTGGGTTGTCTCTCAGATGCCAATGATGAGCAAACAAAGGATACGGATGTCTCTCCCCAACAAGGAGTTGTCTCTTCGCTCCTCAAACCGCTTTCAACGGACCTTGTCGCTCGTGGAGCACGGGAGCACTGTAGGGAGCACCGTTCCGACCCTCAACGACCGGTGGTGAGACCGAGTCCTCAAGGTCCCTCGTCGAAAGTCGGGCGGCGTGCTTTCGAAGGGGAAGGCCGTGATCACCAACTTGTTGAAGACCTGAGGATCGGGTCCACTGAACGCCGACCGGAGCCGGTCCGCGGGTCACCGTGGAGCCCAAGTCACGGTGGCAGTGAGAAGTGACACACCCAGTTGGCCAACGCCAAGTCACCTGGTCAACGCTCGGATGACTGGTATGGCAGCCTCTCAAAACGATGTGACTCCCTAGAGCATAGACATGCATAGACCCATTATAGCATATTAACTCCCAAAAGGTTTTATAGGGGTGTGCATTGAAATAGGGAACCCCCAACCACAGGGTTTTTGGTCTATTTCCTTTCTGGGCTGACGTTCCTCTTTCGGGGTCCGGCCGCGGCAGGTCGAGGGTCGCGGGCTCCGAGCCCAGACAGCCAGAGTGGTCACGTGTGGTACCTGTACGCCCCCTGGTCTTGGGCGATCTGCCTTGGAATACTGGAAGAGTGCCCAGAATAGAGCCCTGAAAAGCGATTACACCGAGACCCCCCTGAATCCAAAGATCTCCAAAGTACCATTGCATCGTCCTTTCATTTTCTTGTTTTTTTTCCAGATCCCAGCATGGAGCTTTGCTTCTTTCAGGCCTAGAGGACAGGTATGAACTCCAATAGAATCAATAGAAGCTGCCATCGCTCTGCGCAGCCCAACACGTCGTTCCTCAACGCTGCCTGGTTCAGCACACGCAGCACACGCCCTGCAGCTCAACGCGTTTCATCCCGGAGCACCCCGTCCTTTCCCCTCCATGAAAAATCCCCTCAAAGACATCTGGGAGAATGAAAAGCAAAACACAATCCATTGGTTGGTGTTCTGACCCTCTCAAGACGTATACCGGGGAGGTGCAGTGGGAAAAAACGCCGCAAAGCCCTGAGAAGCGGCAAAAACCCTCCATGCTCTCCGGGTGACAATCATCGAGACCGAGCAGAAGATGAAACTCGTGACCTCGAGCGCCGCCGCGACGCCGACCGGTGCTGACCTGGTGAGTCGAGCGGTGTCTTCGGTGCGACCGGTGTCCTCCCTCTGCAGATCCCGTAGTTCTCTTTCGAGGCGAAACTCGTTTCGGCCGCCGAAGGATTTCTGGCCGAAACGAGATGATCGTTTGGACCCGAAGAACACCCATCCCTCGGTGTTTCGACCTCTTTCGCCGCCTTCCGAACGCACCGGGGGGGTCCTTCGTCCGCGTGACCACGTCTCCACCGTCGAGTTGAAACGAAGGAACGCTCATCATGGTCTCCACCGTCTCCTCCACGGACACCTTCGACATCGCAAAGACGGTCTTGTCCCGGTCCAACGCAATCTGACGTCCGCGCGCTGCTCGAAGGGTCGGTGGCGCAGGCGAGGCCGTGCAGGGAGGCCGTGCAGGGAGGCCGGACTGTTTTTTTGGAGGGCTTTGGCTTCACTTTTTTTGGGGGGGCCTTCCTGGAATTGGTCATTCTTGGGGGGCTTGCGAGGGGATGCGTCTGCTGGAAATGGCTGGCTTCGTCACGTGCTTCGGGCTGCGATCTCTTTTCCGTGCACGGCACGTGGGGCGCGCGGGGGACTGGAGCAGAGAGAGGCCGCCGATCGTTGTTGCGTGGACTGTTGAAGAAAAGAAACTCCAAGCTTGGAGAGGTCAAGTAACACTTTAACACTACAAAACCTTGCGTGTCCCATTCTTTTAATGGTTGGTCTTGGACGTCTAGGGCTTGTGTTTTCTCAAATAGAATCAAGACATATCAACAGTCTACAGTAGCGTGTCGTGGATATTGGCCAGCTTCCGGTGAGTTCCAAAACGGAAAAAAAGACAAGGACCCCCTCTCCATTTGTTCGCGCTCGCCCGTCTGACTGGCCTCTGAAAACAGGTTAAGACTGGTTGAAGAGAAGGGGCGCCCATCTTATCCCAGTCTTTACGGTTTCATCGCCCACATGGAAGTGGAATGGATCATCAAACATTGGACTAAAACTTCTTAAACGTACCTTGGACATACTCAACCCAAAGTAGCTCCTATAGACTGTATACTTCTAACCAGAGTGAGTTGAATCACTTTCTTCCCAAATCATTCCCTTTGGGAATTCGTGCGAACAAAATATGGACGTCGGCGGTTTGGGTGCCAAGATTCGGAGCTGCCCCTCCAGCGGCTTCGCCACGCTCGGACCATCGATATGGGGTTCCGGCAAAACCCGTTTGCCATCGATCGGGGAGACGAGTGCTTTGCCGAAGTACGAGGAACACCAGTTGGGAGACCCAGGCCATCTATCTTGGGAGTCGCCTTCGACCTTTACGGGGTGGCTCCGTTGGAAGGGTTGCGAATGGGCCTGGTTGGTTAAGGCACCAACACCTAGCCTTCCAAGACCATTCAAAGGAAGGTTGACCTGGTTTTGTAGTGTAATATCTTCATAAAACACGAGTTCTTCCGTCAAAGACCCTTTACATCAATGGCGGGCCAGGAATCTTGGGGAACACTACAAGTAGTTGCTTTCTCCGTCTCGTGATGTTCTATCGTCTTCCATCTAAAATGCCACAACACTAACATGCACAAAATACCTTCTTGGACCCACCAAGAACACCCCCAGCAAGCCGCCGAAACCCCCGACCTTCCCCCGTGTCGGTCGTGGGTGTCCTTCTTTTTTTCCGGCTGCTTATAAACTCCACGCAAAGGACGCCGATCCGAGATCGCTCTCGCGAGATCGTCCACTCTGAAGGCCACCCGACCGTCGGGCTCGTCGGTTGTTCAGTCCCAGCCAGTCACGGTGAAGTCAAAACCGACGAAGAAACACCAACCACGTGGACTGGACATCTCAGAGAAGGATTCTGTGTCGCGTTTGGTTTTTGGGACGACTTTTGCACCACTGGTTCTTGGCTTTGCTGTTTGGGCCTCTCCTGGCCCATGGTTTGTTTGTGGTCGACTGGCAAGGATTTGGACACTAGAACCATGGCAGCATGGCCTTAGAAGGCTAGGGTTTGGGCATGATTTGGCAGCTTCTTCCTCACATCCGAGCAGCTGCCCATGCTGTTTTTTTCCATCTAAAGCCTCGACTTGTCTGTGGGAAGAGATGATCTTGATGCCTTCTGTTGCTCTACTGAGAGCTGGTCAGAGTTACGGCAATTACGGGTTCACAGAATAAACCTTTATGTGATCAGAACCTCATGCCCTTGTCTCACATGGACACTCTGTTTGCCGCCCCTTTCAAAGTTTCAATTGTTCGATTGGCGGTGTTTGTCTTTAACATGATACTGGACAGAACATGAAGCTTGCACTTCAAAGTACCTGTAGATGGTTCAAATCTGAATCCCACAACATGGTGACGCTAGCTCATCTATCAGCAGTTTAGAGACCATCCAGAAAAACCTCCATCCTAAGAACCCAAGGACCCTGCCAGGGGTCTGTACCCGAACAGACCCTTTGCATGCGTTCGGGTGCAGAATCTCTAGATGCTGAACACCTCGGAAAGAGCGAACCCTTGAGAAAGCTTCCCGCGAGACATCATGAACCTGACAAACCTTATACCTAACCTCATGGGGAATAAGACTTCAATCTGGCTCTTTGCCTGCAGTTCACTGCAGGACGCATGACTTTCTACGAAAAAAACCCAAAAAACAGACACAGTAAACACGACAACGCCTCAAAACAGGGTGCCCTTCAGACTGCAGCGGACACCCACGACGTTCCATGTGGAGCTGTTTCCGCGGTGAAACGGCGGAGCGCGCGGCTTCCGTCCAGCGGACCTGGGCGGAGACCGCCCGGCGTAGTGGAGGATCCCGAACGGTTCCCGGGATGGATTGGTGAGGTCTACTACACCCCTCCCATGACCCGAGGAACTTCGGGAAATCTGGCCCCCGAGCTGGTCATCATGGTGGTATTTTTCACTCTGAAAGATGGATCCGAACTGCGGGAGACGAGGAGAATGGCACCTCCATGAGCGTCGAACACCTCCGAAGCCGAAGGCGTCCGGCCAACCAGCGGTCGAAGCGTCCGTTGGGGCAGGACAGTTCGACCGGAAGAGGGGATTCGCGATGGAGAGTAACAAGAGGGAGGGTAAAAAGGAAGGGTTTTCTCCCTTTGCATCCCTTTTCATCCCATTTTCCTCTTCTGAAGAACTGAAAAGGAATGAAAAGGAATGAAAATAGGAATCACTAAAGAACACCCATGCTCCCTTTTCTTCCTTTTCTGTTTTTTTGTCCATTTGTTGGGGACCATGACTGGTTTCGGGCACAGAGGAAATCATATCGAACCCTTTCTTTGGTTGTGGGGATCTTCACCAAGTGAAACATTACTTTTCAGGAACGCCTGTGACCGGTTGACAGGTTGAACTGACACCTGCGTCCAGAGTGCAATTGTGTGAGCTTGGTGCGGTCAACACGAAGGCCCTGGATCACCTCAACAGGCACTCTTTTGAAGCCGCCACTGCATGAGCTCAGTACGAAGCATGCTATGCCCTCCCTAGTCTCGAGAGCGGCGAGGAACAACGTCAACAGGGTTCAAGTCACAAGCACATGTCAAATTCACACAGGTGTTATTCTTCTTTGACTTGTTCCTCAAAGGCTCACAATTCGCCACGTCGTCTGTGGCATCGTGAGACTCCTTCAAAATCACTATGGGATTCGACTTCCAAGTGCAGAGCCGATCACGGAGAGCCTTGCTCCGTTTGGTCAGACCGTCAGCCACCATTTCCTCAGTCGGAAGCCAGCGTAGATTGCGACAGCTATCACGTAGTGCCGCGATGTCGATTTCTACGCGTTTCTCTTGAAAGCTCGAAGACAGCCGATGAACCGCGTCAAACAGACTGCGAGCGTCCGTCACTGGGAACACCGGTATGGGTGTCTTGCCAGAATGAGCAGCTCTGTAGCCGGGAACTGTGAGCTCGCCAAGGACACATCCAACAAAATTTGCATCATCTTCGCAATGATCTAGGCCCGCCGCTTCCGCAGCTAAAGTGGACCGCAAAACACGTTGGTGTCTATACGACTTCCAATTGAGAAGGGAGGCTTCCCCACTTCCATCCAAAGCGCTGGAGTGAGTGGCCGTCACTATGAAGCCGCCTTGGCTTTTGCCACCCGGAGCATTTCCAAAGGCCGAGTCACCATAAGCCACCAAGATCATCTCATTGAAGTCAATGGGACGCAACTTCACATGTGCATCTGCTGTGGCGTTCACATAGCGGAGCACAGCAATTGCTTCCTGGAGGTCTCTGAAGGTGAGTTGGTCATGGCTCTTCTGCAACAAAGACGTGTCAGCAGCTATGTCAGGGCGTGAAGTGCCTGCCAACCATTGAAGTGACCCTATGGCTGTGCGGAATTCAGACATGGCCTCCTTGTCGCCGTTGATTTTCTGCTCAGGGTCATGCTTGTCTTTCGTGAGGATCACCTCCGTGGCATAGTGTGCCTGCGACAGCGTGATGCTACTGTCTTTGTGGCAAGTGATTCGCCTGCCAATGAAGACGAAGTCGTCACATTCCCACTCGCTGCCCCACGTGAAGGCTGCCTTCACATCTTCAAGGTCCTTGGCGTTCGGACTGATGGAGCATGCAATGATGTCATCCACATGAATGCCCAACAATGCCGTCACTGGTCCGTCTGGATCATCGGTGTCTCGGTGCAAAAACAAATCCAGTGAGTGCTGCTGCCATGAAAGCTTCGTCAATGTTGTTAGCACGCATTGGCTTGTCCATACACGGGCGCTGAAAGTTCATACAGCACCTCTGAGTCGTGGTTCCACTCGTCAACTCCTTGCAAGAAAGATGATTTGCAGTCTCCGTTGAAGAGGGGTGCATGGTGAGTTGATGCCCATTGCAGAAGACAAAAAAGTCCTGCGCGTGACAAAACCGGAGCATCCCTCGAAAGGAGTGGTAAATGAGGATCACGAAAGCCCTGCGCCACGATCCGAGCTTTGGCTTTGAACCATGAACCTCCATCCATTGGTTTCCACTTGAAGCAAACACGGCTGGGGAGTATTCGCTCCCTGGCGATCTTGCGACGATCACCTTTGGAGAGCTTGCAAGAGCTCCACATGAGCCATTCTGCCCATTCCTTCTTTGTTGCTTCCACGAATTGCGGAATGTCAGCCTTTGCGATGGATCTCCATGGGATTTCACGCTTCAGTGCTTGGCGTTGAGTTCGCCGAAGTCATCTGAGGTATCCGGCAACTTCTGCAGGTTGTGGTTGAGGACCAAGGCCTGGTAGACGTCGGCGCTTGGTTCCAATTTGCCCACTGCTATGGCCTCTTCCCACTCACAGATCTGGCTGATCACGGAGAAGATTTGAGAACCTTGACAAAGCGAGTGGAATCCTTGAGGGCTACCGTCCCAACCAGTTCTTGATGCATCCGCACGCCCATGAGATTTCATGAGGTTTGAAATGAGCGTAGAGTGCACGATGTTGGCGCATTGCTCGAGGACTG